CAGGGGCCCTTTGACTAATGGCTATCAATATTTGTAGAACTTATCTGAGCTGTTGGTGCAATTTTTGGTAAAAACAACATCTACTTGACTCTTTGCTCTAAATGAAAATTTACGTCTGATCAAGATTATCTCTAAATTGCTGTATAATAACACACAGGCCAAGGATCCCCTATGGTGCAACAGCTAAGTAATCAGTTGCTAATCTAAAGGTTTGACAGTCAAAATTCTTAGCAACAGACCTGCTCTCAAAGAAGATTACAGTCTAGAAAACCCAAAGGGGCAGTGCTAGTCTGTCCCTGTGAGTCCAGAACCAACTCGATAGTACCAAACAACGTGCACAGGTATGGAGACAGTAACATTATCATTGTTGTTAGGTACAATTGAAAAAGTTCCGAATCATAGAGACCCGACATACAAGTGAACCAGACGCTGCTCAGTCCCTCACAATCCTCACAGTGGGTTGCTCTGTTTCAGCCCCTCATTGCGGCCATTGTGTCAGTTTACTTAGTTGAGGGTCTTCCTCTTTTTCTGATAATGCGCTGTCAATCACAATGTCTTTTCCCAGGAACTGGGTTCACCTCTAAAGATCATGCTGGCTGTATTTCTTTCAGGCTAGATTTGTTCATTCTTTGATAAGTCCATAGTATGTGCAATATTCTTCGTCAGCACAGCTGTTTGATTTATTGACTGCTGCTTCCATGGATGTCAATTGTAGAGCCAAGTAAAATGAAATCCTTGCCAAGTCACTTCAGTCTCTTCTCCATTTATCATGATGTCTATTGGTCAAGTTGTGAGAATTTTTGTTTTACGTGGTAAAACCCATACTGTAGACTTTGGTCTTTATTAATATGTGCTTCATATATTCTTCATTTCCAGCAAGCAAGCTTATATCATCTTTATATTACAAGTTGTTGATGAACCTTCCTCTAATCCTGATTCTTCTTCATATAGTATAAATACGGTGAAAGAATACAACCCTGATTCCGATTTTAAACCATACCTTATTCCCTGTTTTGTTTACTTATCTGCCTCTTGGTCTATGAAGAGCTTCCATATGGTTACAATAAGTATTCTGGAGTTTCCATTCTTTGTAATGCTATTAATAATTTTTTATGATCCACACAAACAAATGTCTTTGCACAGTCAATAAAACATAGGTAAACATCTTTCTGGTGTTCTCTGCTTTCAGCTAAGATCCATCAGATGTCAATAATCATATGCCTAGTTGCAGTGGAAGCTGCAGAAAATTAAAACAAGCTCCTGAGAACCAAAGTACTGCCTTGATTTTAAAAACTTACTGCCAAATATCTATGCCAACATTTAATGACTATATATGGTCAGCTAGAAGTGCCCTGGGGGTTTCTGAGACTGTAACTCTTAGGTGGGAGTAGAAGGCTTTGTCTGTCTCCCATATAATGGCTGGCGATTTCAAATTGCTAACCTTGCGGTGAGTAGCCCAACTCGTGACCAAATGCTACCTGAATGTAGAGACCATCTCAAGAATAGATTTGAAGCATTGAATACTAGATTGCAAACCAGATGGATTATAGAATAACAACAAAGACATCGTACAGTAAGAAGTCAATATAAGATGAAAGTCACTCTACCCAAAAGAGATGGTCAATAGTGAAACCATTCCAAATGGAAGCATGTAATTAAGACCTGGGGAATGAAGGAAGAAGTCGGCACCGAAGGCATTGGTGAAAACCTAGGCTCTAGGAATTGATGGACCTATTGAGATGTTTTAACCAATGGGTGCAATGCTGGAAGCATGCACTTATCTCTGCCAAGAGATTGGAGAACAGATATCTGACCAACTGACAGGCAGATATCCATATCTGTGCCCATTCCACAGGACCTACTGATCTAAAATAATGCATTCATTGTCAAACAATATCACTAATATCAGGTGTATGTAAAACTTTGCTGAAGGTAATTCAGAAGTGATTACAGCAAAGCACCAACAATCAACTGCCTGCCAGAAATCCAACTGAATTCAGAGAATCACATTTACATTTTTTTAAAAAAGGGAAATGAAGGAATAGTTAAGGATAACAATTGCTTCACACAAATGTAAACGACCTAAAAAGTGTACGTCTTGTTACTGGCAATAAACTTCATTGGATTCAGAAATAGTTTCTCTTACCCAGCACAGGGCCCAGCACTTAGAGAGGCTTCCCAAAGATGCATTTTATACATTAATTACAAAATGCGAATTTTGGTCCTTTTTGTCCTTGGCAAGGGACAAAGCAATCACTCAGAGGGCAGAGGGCAACATTCCATGTTGCAAGCGGTGTAGGGGATATGATTTCCTCATTAGTATTAGACATGTGGGTTGTTTCCAACATTTTTATTACAATCATGATGCAGCAGACATTGGAAAAATTCCGACAAAAGGTGACTGAATAGTTTTTATTCAAAAAGAAGAAAATTAATTTTAAAGACAAAAATATGTATATATGTAAAACTCCTTTTGGAGGGTCAGCATACACATATACAACAAGCTAGTGTTTGGAATGTCCACTTCTTAACTAAATGCCATTGAGGAGATGATTTTTCACTAAATCTCCTGACTCATTGCCCCCTCCTCTAGGTTTATACCAGTTGACTTTGATTCATGGTGAATCTCATGTGAGTCAAGGTAGAATTGTGCTAACAGGGTTTTAAATGATTGAATTTAAAAAAAGAGAAAGCTTTCCAGGCCTTATTTTCCAAGACCCCTTTGATGGACTTATTTTGATTACCAATTTGTACCACCCGGAGACCCTGAGAGGCCATTTATAATACAATAGTTTCTCATCCCCTTTTACCAGGACTTGGTGTCTAGACCATTTTTGGAGCCCTGGTGGTATAGTGGATCATTCATTGAGCTGCAAATGGAAAGGTCAGTGTTTTGAACCCATTAGCTGCTCCGTTAGAGAAAGGCGAGGCCGTCCGCTTGTATCAAGATTCAGTCTTGGAATCCGAAGGAGCAGTTCTGCTTTTCTAAGGTTCACTTGAATTGGAATTGACTTGACAGCTGTGATTTTGGTCTATAACATTCAGTGAAGACTGAATAACATTTAGTTTTAACAAGAATATTTAGTGTTATCAAATTGATTCAACGTATAGTGCCACTGTGTGGTGGAGTAGAACTGCCCCATAGGGGTTTCTACACTATAATCTTGAGTGGAGTTCACTAGGTCTTTCTCTGTGGTGCCTCATGGTGGGTTCAGACCATCAACCTTTTGATTAGTAGCCAATCCCTTAGCTGTGCCACTGGGGTACCTTTTTAGCAACAACAACACATCTACATCAATCTAAGAATGGAAATAGATTCATGTTAATAAGACTATTAAGAGTGTGTTAGCTTTATTAATTTAGGATGAATATTTTATCTTTTATGGGTCAATTGATAGTTATAAATATTTTAATAAGTCTTTCTCATGCTTCCTGCCTTCGAGCTGATTCCAACTCATGACGACCCTCCAGGACAGGTTTGAACTGCTCCTGTGGGTTCCTAAAGCTAGAATTGTTTACCAGAGGAGAAAGCCCCATCGTTCTCGTGGGGCTGGTGGTTTCAGCGGGTGCTGCTGACCTTGAAGTCAGCTGCCGATGTGTAAAGCACTACACCAGCGGTTCTCAACCTGTGGGTCGTGACCCCTTTGGGGGTCGAACGACCCTTTCACAGGGGTCACCTGATTCATTACAGTAGCAACATTATAGTGATGAAGCAGCAACGAAAATAATTTTACGGTTGGGGGGGTCATCATGACATGAGCAACTGTATTAAAGGGTCACGGCATTAGGAAGATTGAGAACCACTGCATTACACCATTAGGGTTAAGAAAGATGACTAGAAATTGGATTATACTTGTTTTAATCTTCAAATTATTTGTGTCTCACTAAAATGTCAAACAAAATAAATTTTAGGGGTTATATTTAAGTTTTACTTACTTGGCTCCATTCAGGCCACACTGTTTTCAAAAAAGTTCCTTTTGTGAATATTTCACGTTGTGTGGAGGCTACCTAATACTATTTAGTAAAGGAAAAGCTTAATTTTTTTTACATTATCATAATTTTGTACATTGATGTACAAAAAACTTTGTTCCAGAGATAAAAAGTATATCAAGGGAACAAAAAAGAAAAGATTAAAGTATTAAACAAATTGTGATTTCTCTCTTCTCAAATATTTTATTGTTCCCTTGACTGCAGAATTGAAGTTGTGCTAAGAAATGTGCAGGAAAACAATCAGGAAATGCTCTGTGGACTGAGAATGCCAACAGTTAATATATCTGTTATGTAATGTCACACTTTAAGATTCTGCCTATCAAAATGTTAATTTATACTTTGGTTCCATTTTATTGATGCAATAATATTCATTTTTTAAAAGACAAATTTTAGATTTATTCTGGCATACCAAATGTTTATTCTATCAGACAGTGTTCAATTTTGACCACAGCTTTGGTTACATGCTTCGTTTTCTTTTCCTTTTAAAAAAAAATATAAAGCCTTCTATACCGCTAAAATGCTCAAGTATGCCCAAGTGTTTACTATTATTATCACTATTTTGTGTTAACATGTTATCAAATTCATTTTTTTAATTGAAATTATAAATAAAAGAAGTACTTGGCAGCTGTCAGTCGCTGTGCTTTGGGGTACTTTGGACAGCTTGTCTGCATGCAAGGGAGTCAGAGGTCTGGCCTGGAAGAGGCTGCATAACACACACATGGACGTAATGGCCAGGCGATCTACTTGACCCTAAAAATAATTTGTAGAGGTTTCTAGAGAGTCATCTATTGCAACTACTCTGCTTAATTTGTTTTTGTTCAGATATTAAATACACAGTTTAGATATGCCTTAAAGGAGAAAAAGAATCCTGTCAAAATGTTTGAGAGAGATGATTTAGGCTGCATATATTTAGATAATAGCTAATAAGCCTGGCACAGGGCCATAACTCTGATTGTCAAATGGTGGTGGAAGCTTGAAAGAAATGATTAATGGCTTTCTTCAGATCAAGACACGGCACTTACAGGAATTTATTTAATAGCCTAGAAATAACAGTGCTTTACTGACTAATGTCTACACAGTGCTTGCTCACAAAGAAAGCTGACTATGAAAGTAGGAGGCATTAAAGTCTTGATTAAATAGCAATTTGGGAATTGGCAGAAATTTTGAAAATCCTAGAGAGAATGATGATTAAATCAACACAAGCAAAATAGCAATGAACAGAACAGGAATTGCAAGGAGTTTGAGGCAATGGAAGAATAAGGAAGGCTTCCGAGGACCTCCAACAACTCTTGTCGTCATGGGTTTTAGGGTCCGGTCCCACTGGGTCAGGATGGCATCTCTGGCTCCTGGCCACTTCCCTGGACCCACCAGCCTAAACTGGTATGGGCAGCAAGGGCCAAAGAAAACTTCCAAGGCTAATTTGGGATCTGTGAGAAAAAGCCATAGGATGTTGGGTTTTGCCCCAATGAAGTTGGCAAGCTCATCCATATAAGTAATGTAATCCGTCTGAATGGTCTCGCTTTTGCCAAACCTAGAGGGAGTAGAGGAAACACGACCATGAATAGCCAAGCTCTGAGCAGAAACAAAGACAGAGAAAAACCCACACACCTTTGTATCAGTGTATTAACTGGAATCAATGTCAAGCCCTTGGGTTAATAATGAGACTATCTCTCTTATATACTGTAATTTATAGTTGTTTCAAAGAATTTTTATATTAATCTCATCTAGACAATTTTCAACACTGCAAAGGCAGCTGAGAAAGGCAGGGTTACTCCCATTTACGAACAGCTACATCACTGCTCTCTCCAGTGAGGGTATACGTTCATGGTCACTAAGCTAATTAGTGACAGAGCGAGGACTGCAGCCCAGATCTCCTGACTCATCTTTCTTTGTGAATCATTTTCACTAGAGGCACCTGTGTGAAGATAACCTATACATCTTTGAGGAGATATGGTTTATAGTCTAGAAGCCCATATTCATGTTTTCCCAAACCCCTCTAACTTCTAATCCTTTCCAGCTCTCCTCCTGTGATACCCGGCAGGATCCGTGGAGAGCTGGTTGTATAACGAACATTCTCCGTTCTATTCACTCTGTGTGTTGCATAAAATAGGACTTAGACAGTGTCACAATTAAATAGACCCTCAAATAAGTATTTGTTGGTTTGATGAATTTAGCTTATAGCTGAGAAACTTAAGGACCTCATTTGTGGTCACTGAAGCTTAAAGCAGTTCCAAACATTCGTAAGTTTTGACTTCTCAAGGGGAATCCCAGAATCCCTATTTAATAGGTATTTTTACCATTTCAGTTTCTTTCCCATTTTTTCATCGATATCCCTCATCATGTCTTCTACAGAAGGCAAAGTGCACGTTCCTGCAAAAACAACAGTCAAGGAAATCTGGCATAATGCTGGCTTGGATTTTTTCCTTTGGGATAAAAGTTATGAATCACATTAATAATTCTACTTTTTTTGTCACTATCCAGAAAAATAAAATCTCAAACAAGTAAACTGTTGGTTACTCTTTGAGACAAATATATAAACCATCCCTAGTATTCTTGGAATGATTGTCATAATAATTTTAAAATGCTAACCTAATAGCTTTATTATAAAGTTTGCACCTAAACTGCTTATCAGATGTTTAAAATGTTTCTAGGATTATATTCTAATTTATCACCAATCTTTTCATGAAGATTATCTAATCAATATTCACCCCCAAATACAGGTAAATAGGCATCTCTTTTTTAAGATTTCAGGAAAAAATAAACTTCATAGGAAATAACCCTACTTTGCCAAAAAAGGGAATTTCTAATAAAGTATAGAATTTAGTGAAGTCCCCATTATTGAATCCAACAGTTATTGGATAAGACTGAGAATACGGATTCTCTATAAGTCATCAAGGGCAATGGGACCCAGGAGAGTTGGGACAACTCCAGGATTTCAGCCTCATTCAAGTTCAAAGATACTTCAATTGGAGGTGTTTTGTTTTATTTTGTCCTGTCTTTCTGGGAATCTTGGCATCATTTTGAACAAGACTAAAACTACCAGTTCAGTTCTGATTCCTTCAGGCCTATGGCGACTTACGGATTCCCTGTTCCAGCAGTCATTACTAACTGAGTCTCCTAAGCAAGCTTTGCTAGTCTGGCTTTGTTCCAACTGTTGTAGGCTGTCCTATCCCTGGAAAGAAGGCAAAGGGAAGTGGAGAAGGGAGAACAGAAGAAAGGGAAGAGGTTGGGCACAGTAACCCACCAGTTACAACCACTGGGTGGCTTGTACCTGGCTCCTCTGTCCTGATAGTCTGTTTCTCCCAAACTGGGTGGTTTACCTTAGCTTTCATTTCCTCTAAGAGTAAGTCTTTGCTTTGTGCATCGATATCCTGTTAAATGGGTCTCTGCTTTCCTGCCCCCTTCCTTCGGAGTCCGGATTACAACTAGAGTCCTCACAACATAAAAGTCCTGCCCCCAATGCAAGTTTATTGGTTCTGAACTCTTTCTGGGTGTAACTTGATACCATCAATTTTGCTCCTTCTCCAGAGCAACATCACTCAACAACACATTTCTGCGTGGGCTGGGAAAATATAAAGGAGATTAAGGAGGATGGCTGACAAAGTGGGTATACAACTGGTTTCAAGAGGTGGCATAAGATACACAGTGGCAGTTCTTAAACTCTGGAATAAGAAAAGCCTTGAACCTCCCCCAAGTCAGGGAAAGTATAGAAGGCTCATAACACTGCTTCAGAAGGACGTAAGCCTGTCAAATCTCCCTCATCCAGATTTACATGCCTATAAATTCAACTAAACTCTGTGCACGGAACTTTGATATTTCAGCTTGGGCCCCAGTCATGGCCCCACTTGGTTTTATGATCTGCAAGTTCCCACATCCCCATTCGAACCTTAGTGAGAATCCTCCTGGAGGATGCTGCTTGCCTTTCTTTCCTGCCTGCCCCCAATAACATTTGTTGCTTTCTCTTGCTTTTTAAAATATAGATACTTAGTAGTTCTGCATATTAGAGACAATCTACCCCCTCTAAAACGATCTGTCTCTACTATTTCATTATTTGACTTATCAGACATGTGGCAGGGGAGAAAACAGCGGAAACGTCACTGTCTCTTCAGGAATAATTCTTTTCTGGAGCTGTGCATATCTGAAGTTTGCCTGAATATTGGCTCGGTAACATCTTTCCTCACTAAGCTCTCAAGCAATGCCATTTGACCGAGTTTTGACATTATAATTTTACAAAGTTGTCATGTACTTCAGACCAAGAGTTTTGGTACTGTTAAGCTTAATGAGTGATCTAGGGTTAGTTATGAGCAACATTAAATTATAAATCACACATAACTCTTCTAATAGCCATATGTCATTGCATATGATAATTCAAATGTGATATGTTTTAATTTGCTTGTGTATTATAGCAGAGGAATATAGAAGCATACTCTCTCACAACTGAATGGAACCTAGGATTTTTGTTGTCAGTTATATCTGACCTTCTCTGACTCAGGACCCCCTGTGTACAGAGTAGAATTTCTCTGGATTTTCATCACCTTAGGGAAGAAGATGGCCAGATCTGTCTTCTAAGGTGCCTCTGAGTGGGTTTGAACTGACAACCTTTTAGCTAATAGTTGAGCACTTAACCACCCAAGGACTGCCGCGTTACAAATTATCATAATTATGTGATCTTATAAATTTATCTAAAATATAGATATGATAATCATGTAATTAATATAACTAGAACGTATAAAATTAATTGTTAGTCCATTGTAATTAGGGGTCTTCTTTACACAAAGACCCAACGGCATTCTCATTAGTACCCATTTTTCTAATCAGTCAACTTCCCTTTTCACTCACCTTTTATTACTTGCACTGCCCAGCGAGCCTGCAGGTCAGTTGTAGGGATGGCCGCCCCAAGGGACTGGACAAGACCAATTACTGCCATAGTTGACTTCTCTAGTAGAGGAGGGAAGATACCTTTAAATAAGGTGACCTCGTTTTTCCTGCTTTTGATGATGGATTCATCAAGGAAAGGGTAGGCATAGCTATATCCTGTTGCAAAAATGACACAATCGATGGCCTTAAACATGGTTCCATCCTCAAAAATGGCCGAGGTTTCTGTGAATTCCTTCACATTAGGCTTAATGGACACAGTGCCGCACAGAATGCAAGCTGGGAGCTCATCGTTAAACACAGGCTCTTTCCTCAGGGTTCTGTGTGGAAAGTAGAGACGACAGAACTGTATTACTTCCAGTTTGTTTTATTGGTATCTGTATCTCGATGTATGTGTGTGGGAGAGCGAAGAGGCTTCAGCTCCTGTAAAGGTTTATCGTCTTGGAAACCCAGAGGGCCTGTTCTATTCTGTCCTGTACGGTCATTGTAAGTTGGAATCAACTTAGCTGTGTGTTTTGGTTAACTATATCTTTATGGGATGTAGACTTAGCTAGATGCATAGATACATTGATATCTCACTTATATACACTCAACTCACTGCCATCAAGTTGATTCTGACTCACTGCCACCCTTAGGACCAGGTAGAATCGCCCCCGTGTGTTTCTGAGGTCGCCCATCTTTATGGGAGCAGTGGCTTGTCCTTCTCTCAGTGAGTGGCTGATGGGTTTGAACTGCTGACCTCATGGTTGGCAGCCCAACTCACAAGCCACTCTGCCACCAGCACTCCTTATAAAGACACGTAGTTATATTAATAAGGAAGGGGAAATTACCCAATATTTTTCCTGTGCTATGGAGTGTTGATGAAGGACAAAACTGACAGGGTAACAGTGTGAAGAAACAGGGCTCGCCTTTTGCTGACCCCTCCTCTATTTCTTATAGCCTTTCCCTTCTGAATCAAACGTCTAATAGACATTTCAACTTTACTATGCATAGAATGACTCCTGTGCTGGTTTCCATAAGCCTACATCATTTTTCATCTCAGTATGTGAACTCCAAGCTTGCGTGCTTGCTCAGATTAAAAATCTGGCAAATATCCATGATTTCTCTGTTGCTGTCATGCTATTCAAATGCAACAGGAATCCAGTTTGTTCTGCCTTCAAAATATACCAGAAACGGATCATTTTTGACCATTTACTACTAAGATTCAAGTGCACTCACCTCACTTCTCATCTGGGTTTTTATCAAAAGTTTTTTACCTTGGGTTTTTTCCTTTCTACTATGCTCCTCTATTGAAAGATTACCACAGCGGCCAGTGACCACGTCAGTGTTAATTTAGATCTTATTACAGCTCTACTTAAGGGTTCTTACAATGGTCTACAAGGCTCAAAGTCATTTAGTAGTTGTGTTTTTAAAAACCAAACTGGCCTCAGCTTTTATGGCTATATCCTCACTGCTTTACTCCAGGCCGAGAGGTCCCTTAAATAGTCACCTTTGCCATGGCTGTCTCTTCTACCAGGAACACTCTTCCTTGGACATTTACATGGCTCACTTTCTTATCCCCTTCAGGACTTTACTTGGATGTCTCCTCAGTGACATTGATCCTGAAGATACTCCTCAAGACCCTTTCCTGCTTTGTATTTCTCTCCAAATAGCATGCGTCTCCATATGATCGACTGCCACTCATTTCTGCTCTGTTTCCAACTATTAGAACATAAGTTCCAGGAAACCAGGGAATTTTGCCTGTTTTATTCATTGTTGATATTGCAGGGCTTAGGACAGGGCCCGCCATACAATAAATGCTTGATAAACATTTGCTGAATTAACATATGGACTAGGTTGCCTTCAGTGTACAACATGGGTTCTAATAATAGGGATGTCAATATAATTTTTCATCATGTGACTAGCTCAAGGAGAGAGTGAGGGGCCACAGTTGAGTGTAAGGACTTCATTCAGTGTGTGTGAGGCAGGCAGAGGGACTTGTGTACAGAGGAACTCTTTCTGCTTATTTTAACCTAACTTTGGGTTATATAAGAGACAGTTGAGCACAGTGGTTCAGAATGAGAGGCTCTGGAGTCAATGGACCAGGGCTTGTTGGAAATCTTGGTTCTAATTCTTGGTCTGTGTTACTTTGGTAGTCACTAATTTCACAGATTCTCAATTTTCTTACCTTTAAAATGTGGATAATAATGGAGTCCTCCTTACAGAGTTGTTGGGAGGATTAATAGAAATAATGCCTGTAAAGGCATTAGTACCAGCTCTGGCATGTATTAGAGCTAAACATGTTCACTGTAACTATCATTACTTTTGAGACTAATTCCTGATGTGTTATATAACTTCCCAGCTGTACAAATCTGGTAAAGTGAATTGTGAAATTGGAGAGGACTCTTAATTTATCCTCTGAGGTTTGAAATTGGATTGCTCCACAACTGTTGATTTACTTGAGAGCTTTCTTTCAGTTGTTGACATGGAAATGAACATTAACAAACATACAGTGTTGACCTCCGTTTTACCCATTTAAAGGCATCAAGCCATAGTTCTCATGCTTGAATCTTGAATTCATCTGCTTCATGTACCACCAGTCAGAGATGGCTGTCGGTAAAGTGTTCTTGAGGAAGGTTTCAAATCGGGTGATAAACAGCATGTCCCATGGGTATCCATCGTCCCAGACCCTGCTCATCACCCAGGAGCCACTTCTGGAGCTGATGATGACCTTTGAAAACACCAATTCAACTGTGAAAGTAGTGACTTCCATGATGGATACTGTGTCAAGCTCCCAGACCCCCTCAGGACCAGATCTATTAGTCCAGCTGCTGACAGTGTAGCTTTCATCCCTCTGAGAGTGGTCTCATCCAGGGTCTTGCCCTTCTGAGGTGTCCACATCTAATGAATGGTGGGTGCAGGGCATTAAAAGTTCTGCCCCTTGCCCCAACTTGAGACAACTCCAGAGCACCATCCAAGCTTCAGAGTAAAGTAAAAGGGAAGTTTTCATCCTTCCTGCACAGCTTTGACCCTGTGAGTACTCCCAAAGAATCCTCCTGTACTTTCATCCACATCTCAGCGTCAGATTCTCAGACAAACGAACCTGACAAGGCCAGCTTTCCAGGCAACTTTTCATATACTAATCAAATCTTAGATGATATAGATGACGATTCATTGAATTCTAGCCATACTTCCCTAATACTTACCTGTTTAAATATCGTCTAAAAAGAAATAATTATGATCCCAAATTGTGGCATTTCAACAAAAGTCCCAACCCTTATTCCAACAGAGGGCAAAAGATTTGGAATCAGAAAGATTTAAACTAAATTTTTTTACTTTACCACATTAGTAATTATGAGATTTGGGGCAACTGTCTTTAACATCTCCCATCTTCAGCTTCTTCATTCTTAAGATGGGGATAATAAGTATCGACCACATAGAATTTGTGTAAGGAGTAATCCAGTGTGACTATTTGTAGAATGTGCACCACATTGCCTGGCATGTAGTAGATGTGAGTTCTTCTCATTCCTCTTTTTGTTATAGTACCCAAAGAGGACAATTTTCAAGGCACTTTTAAAGTTTGGATAAGTAAAGTCACTTATACAGCTACTACTTGTAATGGAGGCTGGTCAAATAACAAGAGATCGAAGGATCAATTTGCAAGAGCCTCTGAACTTTGTTATTCTTCTCTCTAATTTATCCTAAAAACTATCTTAAACTCTCCCGAAAGCTATTATTTCATTGTATCTTGCTCTAACTCCAGGAGCAGAAATGATTTATTATTATTTATGGAGAAATTAAATTTCCTTAGCCTGTCAATCAATTCTTACAATACAAAATACTTTGACTCCAAACATTCTTTCCTGTCTCAGTTTCCACAACTACTTTGTTCTTTGGAATTACAAGACCTGATTTCTCAATCTTCTAACACAACAACTCGAACATTAACTTCATTTATGACTTTCAAGGCGATAATTGATGTATCTAGTCAGTATCCTTTTATGCAAAATGGGTTTATTAAAATCTTTCTCCCTACAAAGTAACTAATTTATGTGCATTTGTTTAAGTACCATAATGCATTCTACAATTTACAAATATTATTAACACTCTCCACTCCATAATATAAATCTGTAATGCAGCCATTCCTCACTAATTGACGAGGTTAGGTTCCAAAGATCAGGTCCTTATGTGAAAATGGAATATGACCACATCATATTACAAAATGGAGAATCGGTACATCATTGCATAGCTGCCAAATTGCATCACTGCACAATTCACAATCCAACGAGAATCATGGCCCTGCCAGCTAGACACATAACCTTAATGTTCACAACCAGCAACACTCTCATTTTGCACTTTGGTGTTCATTACTGCCAGATGTACATAAGTAATGCACAAAATAATGAGCTAGTACATTTTTTACTGTGTTTGTAAATGAGATAAGTAGTCAAATAGGCAGCACACATTCTACATAACTTTGATCCTGTTGTTCTCCCTGCCTGGAACACCTCTGCCACCTCTTCAACCTGGTGATTTATCTTCATCATTTCCAGACTGACTTAGGCATACCTCCTTCTGGAGTCCTCTAATTAGCAAAGCCTTTGATCTGTCATCAAAACCATTGATGTCTGAAGCACTCGATTATTCTAGTGGTAGCTCTTTCACGTACTATGGCAATACTTACTCCTGTCAGACTGTGATGTTAAACAGTGTTTTGATCTGCTGTATATAGGGTCACTATGGGTTGGAACCAATTTTACTGCACCCAATAACAACAACAACTCTGGGTGTCTTGAAATTTGAGCTATTGGCTGAATGCATTAATCATGTGCACCACCCAGCGACTCTGAACAGACAGATAGAAATGCGTTTTTTATACCATGTGGTTTGTTGTGCTCTTTCTTCTCTGATTGTAATAAAAAAGGCATAACTAGACCTGTGCTGTATATGGTTATGGACTGGATTGTGCTCCCTCCCAAAATATTTATTAATTTGACTAAGCCATCAATCTTAGTATTACATAATTGTCCTCATTTTGTCATCTGATGTAATTATTTTATGTGTTGCAAATTCTAACTTCTATGATGTTAATAAGGCAGCATTAGAGGCAAGGGCAAGATGCAATCTACTGGATTAATTTGCATCTGAAACAATCTCTTTGAGATATAAAAGAGAATAAACTAGCAAGCAGAAAGGAGGAAGCTGACTATCACTAAGAAAGAAGAGCTGGGATCAGCATAATCTTGCTAAGCACCTCATGTTAAGACAAATGGAGACCTCCAAGGAAGACTGGGTCCACGAATGTTGAAAGGAAAACAAGACCTTCCTCTAGAACCAGTAGAGAGGACCCTCCCCTAAAGCCAGCACTCTGACTTTGCACTTCGACTCTCCACTGTGAGAGGATAAATTTGCTTATGAAGTTTGTCTACTGTGGTGTTTCTATTATAGCGGCACTAGTTAGCTAACACAGTGACACCCAGCATGACATCAGTGGGCACTATGACTGAAGATACGGTTTCTGGCTTTGAGCCTTCAGACAATCGCATTTTAACAAATCCTCCAAAGCCAATAGATGGCATTTAGTTGAACTCCTTAACATGTCCTCAAGAACCCTGCCCTGTACCTCTTCTCTGTCTTCACTCCAAGGCCTCCTCCTGCCATTCTTTTCTAGACACCCCCCCCCCCCACTGAGTTCCGATTGGCGAGGCCTTCTTCCTGCTTCCAGACCACCTGTCCCAAGCCCTGTGCTGCTGTCGGTGCCACTTTTATTTCTCAGCTTTAATGCCATATGTTCAACAGGGTCTTGGCAGGTTTTACAACATAATTTTTCTTTCCTGGTACTTTTCAGGAGTATAAATAAGATATTTTTACATTTACTTACTTACTCATTTAATGTTTGTTTTCTACAATAGACTTTGAATTTCAGGACAGGGACCATGTCTTTTTTGGTGTTGTTCACCGTTTCTGCTCAGCACCCCAGCCAGTGCCTGACACCTAGTGGCCCCTCAATAATCAGGATAGACGGAATGACGGTATGAATGAATGGATACAGAACTTTATATTGCTTAAATAATGTTTACATGCTTTAACTGCTTAACAAGACCCCAACGCATCTTCTACATTTATCTCTGTTTCACTGTTGAACAAATAGAGACAAAGAGAGATTGAAGTTCTTGACCGAGTGTCAGAACCCTCATGCACACTTATTTTATGAGACTTGATCAACACATTAGACACACAATGCTTTGAAGGAGAAGACTGTTGAATATATAGCTCCTTGTCATAACTTGACACAACTCCTTGTCAAAGATCTGCCTTTGCTTTCATGCTTATGTGAAAGACCTATGTGAAAACCTAACCCTTTAACATGGATTTTAAATATCATTTAGTTTTCAGATCAAGCACCTGGTCTTCCCCCAATTTCACATCAGACCTTTCACATGACAACAATTATTTTGTCTTTAAAGATACTCCACCCTTCCTTACTCTTCCTCATCCTCACCCACTACCTGGAAGTGGTACCTTTTCTGCTGTGCGGCTGATTTCTGTGGCAATATCACAGCCTGAATTCCCCAAACCAATCACTAGGACGCGCTTCCCCTTGAATGTTCCTGGTTCCTTATAGTCTCGGCTGTGGAAATATTTGCCTTTAAAAAGTTTTAGACCTGAATGAAAAGTAGGAAATAGAAATGATTAATTTTCATTAAAAAATAACGTGCTTTAACAGAAGTGACTTTGTGAGGGGATATAGTCACAGTAATGTGGAATGTTAACATGTCTCGTATAGTTCTTTGGGCAAACATAATAGAAATGTATTTTAGTTTAACCAGTCTGCAGATAGAAAGACAGATAGATTGATGCAGAGATAGAGGTATATAGAAATCCAGATATCAAAAGTATATTGTCAGATGTGGAGGTAGGAGGCTCAATTTGGGGCTTACCTGGAAAGGACTCTTTTGGTAGATTGGGGTACACATGATGTCCAGAACAAACCATTACAGCATCAAAAATAGCAGATTCCTGTTTCCCGTCCTCTTCACTAGTAATAACCCATTGGCCGGTGGTTGAGAAATTAGAATGTTTCCTTACGCTGCATACAAGTGTCTAAGAGAAATACAGAAATAAAACCTCTTCTGTTAGCAGATGGATTTGACCCAACCTCGTCCAATATTCAGAAAGAAAATCCTTAATAGATAGTGGCTTATGGAAAGAAATGCATCACTACTAGAATATATTTTACAAATTTTAAATTCCCCGAGGAAATCCACACACTAGAGCATGTATATTGTTTATTCTTACATTATTTATTTATAGTGTTTTCCATAGTTGAAAAGTGATTGTCTTTTTATGGTAGTGACTCTAATGATAGTTTAAGTGAAAGAGGTACATCTTACATGGAGCAAGCTATCTCGTGGTCAATAGTTTTTGTAATAAATACATGTTTAGTCCTAGTTGCCGGTCAATGTGTCATCGCATTAAAAAAATCTTTGAGTTCTTATGACTATATTTGGAAGGACATCTCTATTTGATCTTAATGTAGCTTATATATATATAAATATATATAAGTACACACATATATATATATGCATCAACATAATACTTTCGTTACTTAAGAATGATGATAATGAAATGAACACTTCTGAACCCATAAAACATACATGTCATTTATTTAGAATATTTCTAGTGTTGCTTTGTGCTATTACAATTGACACCTTTTTTGGATGATGGTCTCTCTAGTTACGAGTTTGCAGAAATGCAATGGACTTTTACGTCTTGATCCTAATACTGCCACTCTATCGTCTCACAGTGTTGTTGTTGGGTGCCACCGAGGCAGTCTTGACCCACAGCAACCTTGTGCAGAACAGAATGAAACACACCATCCTCATGATTGTTCGTTGGAGTTCATTTTTATAGCCACTGTGTCAATCCATCTCCTCGAGGGCCTCCCTCTCTTTCACCATGTCTATTTTATCTACATCTTTATTCTTAATAGTATGCTTTAGCACTTTTACTCTCCCCATGCCACAAACTGCCAGTTATTCCTCAAGTATTGATTTTATTAGAATTTTCAAAGAATTAACTTCATTTTTTCTTTTAAAAAAGGAGGCTCTTACAGATATTATAAGAATCCACAAACCAATTATATCAAGCAAACTTATGCAGATGATGCCATCATTTTCAAAACATTTTCTTTCAACTTGAGCCCCTTCATAACAGATCCTCTTTATATCTGCCCCTGCCTACCACACTCATGAACACCTAATAAATTATATATTATTCTTATTTTTTTTCATATCTTAAACCATCCAATGTATCCCTTAACCAGATAACAGAACTGTGGGTGAACCATGCTTTTTGTTATAGGTCTTATGGCTCTTAAGCCAATAACCTTGCTTGCCTTTCTTCATTTCTTTTTTTTTAATCACTTTATTGGGGGCTCATACAACTCTTATCATAATTCATCCATGCATCCATTGTGTCAAGCACATTTGTACATTTGTTTCCATCATCATTCTCAAAATATTTGCTTTCTACTTGAGCCCTTGGTATCAGCTCCTCATTTTTCCCCTCCCTCCTTGCTCCCCCTCCTCATGAACCCTTGATAATTTATAAATTATTACTATTTTGTCATGTCTTAAACTGTCCGACATCTACCTTCACCCACTTTTCTGTTGTCTCCCCCAGGAAGGTAGTTCTATGCAGATCCTTGTAATTGGTTCCCCGTTTCTCCCCCACCCTCCCTCCATCCCCTCTTCATGCTGTGTTCTTGGGATTTATCCTGCCTTTCTTTTCATGATTCTTTATCCATTCTTACCTTTTGAATTTTGAAACTTTTCTCATTTTCTAATATGACCGTTCAAGATGATTATTTCTTATACATCTAGCTTTATCTGCTTACAAGTTTTCATATTTAGGATCTAGATTTTCCTTTAGTTCTCAATGTTTTAAAATTTATATAAAATTTTCCCATGATCCTACGTTATTTAAAAATAAAATGCTTTTAAATTCAAATTTGTGGATATTTGATTTCTGGGTTGTGGATTTCTAAGTTAATGGCATTGTGCCATAAGACCCCTATGTGGCCACTATTAAAAATGTTGACAAATAATAAAGAGATACTGAAAGGGAAACATAGGAATCCAGTAATAAACATGGACTTCCTCACAGTTTTGCCAAAGACTAATTTATTGATAACAACTTACCTTAAATTTTATGTATCTCAGAAGGTTCTTTTTCCTGGCAAATAAAACAATGTATTCCTGGAGCTTTCGGTTATGCATAAAGTTAGGGAAGTCGTCAGGATATGGGAAGTCTGGAAAACACATCATTTCTTTGGAGGAGTTGGTAAAGACCGACTGGTAAATGCTAGCTCTGCCTTCCTCTGCATGGTCCTGTGAATACGTAATTATTCATGGAAAGAGGGTTTTAAATGAGGATCAGGGGAAGTTCCAAATAGTAATCACTTATTTTGAATCTGATTTTACATGAAAGCAAATTCAGTAGGGTAAGGCACAAATAAGTGTTACTTTAAATAATTGATGCTAATTACAAAGGCTTATCAAGGGGATTAGGATGTAACATGTATCTTTCTTAATATCTTTATTTTTCTTAGGGAATGAATTTTGAATCTTATGGCATCCTTTTGGGACTCTGTGATTAGGGTCATTACTATTTCCTTTGAGCCAATTTGAATGCAGTGACGGATGTTTTCCAAAGCTCAATCTATAAGATTTGCAGGTATCAAATCAGAGGGGTCAGAGAGCATTAGCAGGATCCTTGAATTTGAGAATCTTCATCTTTCCTTGACCACAGGACCACATAAGTACCCCTTCCTCAAAAAGCCAGGTGCCGTCTTACAGATTCTTTTCCCCTCTCTCCGACTCTTTGTAAGGTTTTGCTCTCACCTAAGCCTAGATTCCTAAGAGGTCTTTTTGAAAACACTGATTTAGAATCATTTGGTTACTACACTCCAACCAAAAGTTTAGATAAATTCTAGATATAGAATATTTCTCACCTAATAGGACAAAGGCTAATTGGTATAGTTTATCTTGTATGGATTGATGATAAATATTTGTTTATTGTCTTTCTATGCGGCAGATTTGGGTTTGAAACTGGTTTCCAGCATTACTCAATCACCCATCTCTCATTAGTAGTAAGAGGCTGTTCTTTTAACCAGCAGAAAGGTCCAGATGGGCTGGGTCCATTTGCAATGTCCTCTGGTACAGAAGTGGATGGAATGAAAGGATCGTGAAGCTGGACGTGGGCTGGGAGTGAGAAGAGACCACGATAAAAAGATAATTTAAATAATGTGATGATTTTTTTGTTTTGGTTTTAAATGTAAATTATTGCTTTTGAAAACTATATAATTTAATTTTTGATAGAGAGCATCACAAAGTTGATGGAAAGATTCCAGTACTTTTCATTCTATTTTCTCACAAACTGATTGTATTCAACAATCTGATTGTGACCTGCTTCAACATCTAGTCATTGGTTCTCCCTGGCCAGTACAAGGTAGACACCAGTCAGGAGAAGCCGGCCAGCCTCCGATGGAGCGGGTAGCCTTTGTTGAGGAGGTTCTCTTTGTCCAGTGGAATCGGGTGATTTTTTAAAATCCGATTAAATGCTGCGTGCATTTTAGGATTGTGAAATTTAAGAAGGCTGTTATTTCTTTATTAGAAAAAAGATTTTTAAAAGATAAACTATTCACATGTAATCTCCAGCGAGGTATCGGATGGCTATGAGTCTCCATCGACTCGATAACAGTGAATTTTGTCTTGGTTTGTGACATTAAATCAATGAGGCTTTGTAATTTCAGGATGAATTATATTACATTAGGTGTTAGGACACCAGGTTATTTGGATACTTTAAAGCTCAAGCCACTTTTCACCTGTCAGAATGCTGTTTTGTTTTAGAAAAAAGAAAGAGGAAGATATACAAAGGTTGAAAGTCATTGAATGACATTCTGTAAGCTTCCTTGCATATTGATATCACTGTAGTGAAATATTGTTTTTGAAAATAAGTTAATTAAACTTGATTCAATAGGTCTAGACATGTTCTGTTTCCCTTGTAACACAAATAATACATTAACGGTAAATATTAGAACGCACAAAGAAACGTCATGAAGAAAATATAACTCACACATGATTATTTTCTTTTGAGATTGATTTTCTGTTAGCATTTTAGTTATACTCTTTCAGACTCTTCTCTATCTATATGTATATGGATTTTTCGTACACAAGTGAATTGAATGCTATGTGCATTATTTTATAAGTTCTTCCTCCACTTACACATCAGACATGGGAGACAGATGAGGTTTTCTACTCCCATACATCATTACAGTCTCAGAAAACCCAGGAGCAGTTCTGCTCTGCCCTACAGCATCACCGAGTCAGCATTGACTTGATGGCAGGGAGTTTGTGGAAAATTCTATTATCTTTTAACTCCATTTTCCACAAATCCCTCTAGTTTGCATACACACATACCCTGTTTCCCCGAAAGTAAGACATCCCCTGAAATAAGACCTACGTACAGTTTTGCCTCTAACTGAAATATAAGGCACCCTGCAAAATAAGACCTCCCCAAAAATAAGGCCCCTGAAGCTACTTTAACTCTGGACTCTGGACCGTAGTGGAGGGTGCTGCTGTGCAGCTCACTGTTGGCCACAGCACAGCCAGAGCAGACAGGAAGTGCGAGGTCTCTTTTAATAAAACAGTAAATGATAAATGTGTACCGTAGTCTTCTTCATGGAAAAATAAGTCATCCCCTGAAAATAAGACCTAGTGCATCTTTGGGAGCAAAAATTAATATAAGACGCTGTCTTATTTTGGGGGAAACAGGGTATGCAGATATATATGAAACTTATTTTATTTGATAAATCTTCTGAAAAAGACCCATTAAAGTGTTAAAACACAACGATGTCAATTTGATGATTAAGGTGCATCCAATGCAAGCCATAGTATTTATAATCACTTCATATGCCTGGGAAGATTTTTAAACAAGAAAGACAGAAGAAGAATTTATGTATTCAAACTGTGGTGTTGATGAAGTACATTGAATATGCTGTGGATGTCTAGAAGGAAAAACAAATAAGTCCTAGAAAATTAAAGGTGGTAAGAGTTTGACTTGCTTGCTTTGGACATAGTCTTAGGAAAGGTGAATTTCTAGACAAGGGTGCAACATTTGGTAACACAGAGGGATAAAAAAACATAAAAACTCAGTGAGATGGACTGACATAGTAGCCACAAAAATGGACACAAACTTGCTAATGGAAATGGTGCGAACAAGATCAGTCAACATAAAACCAAGACCAAACTCACTGCCATTGATTCAATTCTAACTCAGGGGGCCCTACAGGACAGTCAGGACTACTCCAGAGCACTCCAGAACCACTCCATAATCCCCCATAATTCTTCATTATGGCTAAAATAAAGAAAATATAGCTATTTTGTCCATTCTCGCTTCACTTCCCTCAGAATGCAATGTCTTTCCCAAGGAAATCTGACTGGCTGTTCAAGTGTTGTATCTGCTGTGTGACCCATGTGCCGGAATAGTGAAGAAAGTGTGTCTGAGGACTGACTGTTCTGCTTCCCAAGTAGACAAATAGGCATGGACTCGCCATTTAACCAAATAGACACAAGTTACGTATACTCTGATTAAGCAGTTGCTATGAGTCAGAACACACTCAATGGCAGTGAATTTTGGAGAAAGTATACAAGTTGGGGTAGAGGAAAGCAGTTATTCAACAAACTGAATTTGGAATGCTGCTTAAAAAGAGCCCATGGTAGCTGGGCTATATAACATGATGAATGCCCCTTCCAAACTGTTTTCACATCACTTTCAAGAACCCCTTTGACTCAGTTTTCAGTCCCCTGAATAGTTACCCGTTTTTATCCGAGACTCTGACTTCTTTTTAACTGTAGCCTGATTCAGCTCTTCCATGGCTCAAGCCTTAAAATATGTACAAAAGCCACAGCAGAGAAGATTACCTATATGCAAATAATTGAAGTAATCAAGCAGCATTAATATTTTAGGAGCAGATTTACTGATATGGAAACAATAGTCAAAAGTTGCCAGGACCTGCAAAAATTGAGAAAAACAAAAAACAAACCAAGGAAAAAGTTATGGTGTTTTAGAACTTATCATTTTCACTTTTCAAGGGCCAATAAAATTCCTAAAGTGTGTCAAGAAAACCCCATTTTCCTCCTTAAAATAAAAAAAATACTTCAATAGCAACAGCTGCAGCCATCATCTTACACATTAAATATTTTTTCCTCGGATGAAAGATCAAACTACAGATTTCTGTGGATAATTGTTGGTCCATAATTGAGAGCATCCAGCACTAGAGATTTTTCATAGGGCTCATATAACTCAAAGTTGTCAGTGCTACCAGGGTAAGAATTTTTAATATATTTAAATATTAAATTATGTCAAAAGCAAGAGTAATTGGGGTTGGACTCTTTGACAAGTGATTACATGGCAGCTCAGGTGCAAGGTTTTCCTTGTAGAACTGTGATCTTGAAAGAGGGCATGAATTCTTGCCACTCATTTGGTTTGTTGTCCCAGCTGGTGTGAAGGTTGGGAAAGGAGGTGAAAAGATTAGTAGCTTTTGGTGCATTTAGGAAGCTTGACAGAAATGATAATCAACACAAGGTGAAAGGATACATTCAGAACAAATTAATATATTGTCTAGAAAAATGGGAGGGAGTGAACAAAGAGTTGTATTCTCAGAAGAAGGAGATTCTCTTCATGAAATCAAGAAACAGTTTACTGACTTATTATTTGGGGACTCCAGACAAGGGGTAATATTTTGCTAGACGTCTAGCCTGGCCACAAAGGACATTATTTTTACAGTGAATTAAAACAATAGGGAGATGCCTTGTCTGGCATAGAGCAAGGGTTAAGAGTAAGAACTAGAAGGGACAAGAATGTACTGCAGGTAACAGAGTCCAGATGATGCAGAGTTAACTTAGTTGGCTGTAAATCAAAAGGTTGGACATTGAATCCACACAGAGCAAGTCCTAGCTGTCTACTTTGAAAAATCATCATCGAAAACCCTAGAGCACAGTTCCACTCTGATACACACGAAAACATGACAGCAATTTTTTTTTAAGAAAACAGTTACAGGACTTTTGGGAAGATGGCTGCGTGGTAGAGATAAGCTAACTGCATCAGGAGCTCTGCAGGCAATTACCAATTTGGGGTGGACAGGGAGGCTGACTGGAGAGTTGAGACATGCAGTGGGGCCCCAGGGGTCTGTACCAATGTGTGGGCAGACCTAGCCCACAGCATTGACCTGCACTGCCCTTCCAGCACACTTAGCCAAGCTGCAGCTGTGTGTGGCCTGGTCCCAGGCCCACATCTCCTGCATCACCTGCCCAGACCTGCCCAGGGA